AAATTTAACTACAACATTAATTTCAAATCAATGTCGGGGTAGTCGGTAATTTTAGCAAGGGCGTCTACAGGTGGAGGTTGGGGAAACGGTCACCCTTTATTCTAGTTAATATTAAATATTAATTGTTTTATTACCTACTTGCATGGCTTAAATATTATTATATAGCCTTATATTTTTGACTTTCCCCTTGGTTTATATTTCTGCGGGCGCCCTTAAACTTTAGCTCAAAGTTTAGGGTGTTTAAATATGTAAATTTATAATTAAATCAACTTGATAGGTACAGATTTTTACGCCTTTGTTAACAAATTTCATAGTTTTACTATAGTTGTTAAAATGTAAAACCAAAGTTTAATGTCGAATTCTTGGACGAATTTTAGTACAATTTTCTTTAATACTATAGATAATTAGTAATTTCTTTTCATTCATATTATTCTTTATATACTTATTTCTAAATATTTCTTATTGCATTTGCTTTATAATCAAACCAGTCACAAAAAAAGTATTATATTTCTCGGTAAGCACAAAGTTATTCATTTATTATATTTTTGTAGGAACATTTTGTTCATCAATTCGTCACTTGTTAGTCAATAATGTTTTGGTTGTTGTGAATATTTTTCAGTTTTTGATGCATATTTAAAGCATAGTTAATATTGAAATATGATGAAGGAATTTTGGAAATTATTTTAGGAATGTTAAAATAAAGCATAAATAATTGAAGACATATTTTTGTTATACTTTTTTTTTTAATATACACTCAAGCAAATACAGTAAAAGAAATATGACAATATTATGTATAAATAAATACAGATTAATTTTAAATTAATTATAAAGTAATAATAATAATAATAATAATATTTTTAAAGATTATTAGTATAAAGGCAATAGTGTTTATAGGTAATACATAATATATGATTAATATGTTGTACGTTTTCAACTGCGCGTATTTAAGCGATTTGAAAGTTGTTTGAAAATCTAGAGTATAATATAGTTACCTATCTATTTAAAAATATCTACAATGATATTATTGTTATTGAATTTGTTTCTGTTAAATTTAGGAACCAAATATTTCAAAGACAAATTAGTTTTTGAAATGTTATAGTAAGACTTAATGTGGATTCATCATTTTAGTTTTTAAATTTCACGCTACACAATACCCGTGAAAATCTTAATTTTTTGAATTTATAATCAATTATAGGTACATAGTAAATAGGTATCTATTATCTGTGTATAACATCGACCTTTGAGTATAAGCAGGTCCATTAGATTTATAACCACTATTACTGGGACATATTAATCGTACATCGATGCACACGCTTAGTCTACATAGAATAATGAAAAAAATTAACATGAATTTAAAAATAATAAATAAATAAGTAAAAATAATGATGTAAACTATAAAAATAAAAAAATACGACAGAAATAAAATTTCAAAGATATTATGTAAAGTTTAACTGCAATATAACAGAATTCCCGTAACGGACGTAGGAAGTCCGAAACTAAGAATAATGTTACTAGTTATAATAATGTAAAAAAAAAAAAAAATTAACAATATGAAAAAAATTCTGTATTTACTATCATCCGTGCAATTTTATGATATATATGTATAATATATATATACTTAATAGTAATATACGATTTAAAATATGCAATAATGTATAATAATAATATTATTTAACATACAATTATTAATTATTATTATTATAATAGCGTTTTATCTTCATAAATAGTTATATTATTTAAACGTTATACGTAATATTTCAAACTTAATCTAAACGGATAAATCGAACATCTAACAGCAGTCGGAAAACTAAAACAAAGTATAGACGAAGTGTACACATACGTGGTCATACATGTATAGTATACCACATAGGCGTAGGTATGTTAAATGCGATTGGTACATTTCAGTTTTTTTTTTTTTTTAATTTTTTTTTTTTGTCTTATCAATTATGGTTAAACACACGATAATGGTTTTTATTATGTTATAAAAAATAAAAGAAAAAGGAAATCTTATTACGTCTATTATAAACGTAATAATCGATGATCATATTGTATTTATACACAAGAGCTTACTGCAGATAATCGTAGTACATCGGTCTCTCTCTCTCTTTTTTTTTTTGTCTTTGTTCTTGTGTACGCGTTCGATCGGATAACGAAAATCTTGTGTGGACGAGAATACGATAAAATATAATATGTTATTATTAAAACGTTGATTAAAAAAAAAAAAAAAAAAAAAAAAAAAAAAATTCCTAACCGTAATTTTGTTCAGTATTGTTTCCGGAAAAATAGCACAAACGCGCGGCGCACGAGCACCTACGTATAATACGACGACGTACTATATCATACGCGCCCGTCATGATAATGTTGCGATGCGGTCGATGCGATATTATTGTGGTATTTCACCGGAAACAGGGATATCGATCCGATCGGCCCGCGCATTAGTGCTTTACTATCGCCGCAGCGCGTTGAATCCGGGCAGACGGGTACCTACCTAATCGTAATAAACGGCGGCTGATGTCGGGCTCGTTAACCCAAAACCACGTCGTCGGTATCGACCGACACGAATCGTCCGACCGGACGCAGCAACCCGTTGTTATTCGCGTATATAGCTGCACGAAACGCATGCCGCGGCACAGCTCTCGCGGCGAACGTCGATGGCGCCCACCGCCGCCGGACACGGATGACGGCTATAATTGCCCGTCTATTACAGGCAGGTGCGCATAGAAAGGTACGACGGATATTATTGACGTGGTAGGTACGCGTTGTCGCCTGTCGCGTTTTGCGCGGTCGGTCGCGGTGCAAACCGGCTCGGGGGCGTAACGATAACGGCATAATAATATTATACCATCGTACACAAGACGTGTACACTTGGTCGACGCCGTCCCACCGGCCGTTGTTGCGATGCGTCCGGACGTTTTACTTTTCGATACGTCTGCGCGTTGGATTTGTTCGCGGAGAAAACCGCACGATATTAATAGACGTTTTCCAGAACAAACGGTTATCGACGTGTGATATCCGACGCTGTTATGATCGATCGTCGTGTACCTACCCATCATATTCGAAGTCGATCGGTTTCAGATCCCGAAAGCGCTATTTTTGTAGATATATATATCAATATATCAATATATATATATATATATAATGTAAAAAAGGTAAAATTAAGCGCGGTACTGTCAAGAAAAAAAAATATACTATAAAAATATCTAGCAAGTACTTTAAAAATCGTTTTCAGCCTTAAAAATGACGGATTTTGTTCTACGTAGCCGACATTTCGTTGTTGTTTTTGATCTCAAGTAATAGAAGATGTTTAGGGATATTAATGATATTATACATATTATATAAGTATAGCTGGGATGGTATCGTTCATAATATATTATTATGTGTAGTGTCTATATATATATATAATATTTTTGTTATTGAAAAACATACTATGTAAAACTAATCGATTTCTACAGTTTTATACAAATAAAATATTTGCTGGACAGACATGTTTTTTGTTTGTTTAGATTAATAATATTATAATATTGTATTATAATACATAAGACTTAAATTATAAACTTTTTATAATAACACAATAATATAATCACTATATACCTATTATAATATTATAAATAAGAATTAAACACTACAAAATACAGTTAAGAATACAAACGATAATCTTGTCTAACTTTAAACACATAATATGAAATTTCACAAATAGTTTAATAAATTTTTTAACATTTAAAATAGTATGACAGAAAAAAAATGATTACATCATAATTATTTGACAAATAAATAATGTATAAATGATCAATTATTTATTTATTTTTTTATTCTAAGGTTTAAATATAAATCACTAATCAACTATTATTATAAATTATAATATTTATAGAGATCGCAGTTTATATTTATTAATCATTTAATAATATTGTTAATGGTTTTTGGAGATAATGTTTTATCGTTCAAGCTGGTATTTCAAGCATTTTACAATTTTACATTTTATTGTTCATTTAAAAATGATTTTTTTTTTGGTTATGTTTTTTATTACATTTTTGCGATATTAATTAAAATGCTATGCAGGAGATGATTTTTTTACTGAATTATTTGTAATATACCTATGTAGTATAGATTATAAGAATTACTTTTTTTGTTTGTTTGGCTGAAGAATTTAATAATTTAATTGGGTTTTTATCTTTTACTAATAAACTGATATAATTTTATTTAAATTTTTTAAAAGACATTTCTTTATTAACTCTATACGATATATTTAAGTATTTTATTTGCGTTAATTTATTTTTTAATGATATTGCATATGAATGAATTGATAAACATAAGCATGCGACTTTTCTTGTTGTTAATTCTAAACAAAATGTATTGACATTAAAATTAAACACGTAATAATAAAAATCTATTAATAAAACCTTTCCTTCTAATGACTTAAAATATTAAGTTTAAATAAATGTTAAGTTTTAAATGTATATCTATTTACATACTCTCTAATTATCGGTTATGGGTCAGAAGAATTTAATACTTTATTTGGCGTTCACACAATTGAAAAAAGGTACCTTAACATTTTAACTAAACATCAAATTAAGTATAATGGCTTAAATTAATTTGTTTATGTTAATTTTAAATCGTTCAATGTTTTTAAAATGTAGTAATAAATACAATACACGTTTAGACATGCTTTGCCTTTTTGTATACGAATTTGTGATCTGTATTTTGGATAAAATACAAAGATTTAAAAGTTTTTTAAATCGCAAAAATAATGGTTGTTAATGATATAATGGTTGTTACAATATCATCTATGCATTTCGTTGACAATGATGCATATCATACACATAAGCGCCTAATGAGAAATCTGTATTTTTAATAACACTTGGTGTTTTACTCACATTTAACATTGAACATAATTTTATTTATTTATAATAAGTGAAATAAAGAATAAATGTAATTTGAGATATCGTTTTATTTATGAAATACAATCATTAACTTATATAACAATTACATGGTTTTAAGATGAGTTTATTAAAAATTTATTTTGGTTTAAATAAAATCATTAAAAGACAGAGTAGTAGTGTCACAGATAATAAAACTAAAATCTTTTTGAAACTTTTCTATGATATTCATGATGAAACAATATATCTCAATCAAAGAAGGTACTAAGTGTCTAACATGACCAATTGGCTATTTGAACTTAATATTTGGGTATTATATTGATTAAAACCAATTTAGTACCTATGCCGGAATTTTTTTTCAAAATTATTTACGAACGTCATTTATTAGCATTGTGTCTATTGAATATTTGTCATTTATAGCGTGGTATGCGTTGTATCGTAATAAATTATAATTAATTAAAATTGTTCATTATTTAATGGCTGTGGAAGTAATCATTTTGAAACGCTCGATTCTTATACAGTTTATAAATAGGCGCCTAGTGATTCTTGTACATATTTTATATAAATTATGTCGCTATTTTATTTTAAATGGTTTTTTCATAGACATTTTATCGTCTCGATATAAATGCTGGTTTTTACAGTTTATCGTACACCTACTAAACCCATGATAGTGCGTTTGTAGAAAACTGTATTGTTGTTCATTGGCATACAATGATCATTGTTGTGTCGATCGTTATTGTAAAGATGCGTTTTAATACAACACCGAGTGAAGGATTTAAAGAAGACAGTCTTTAGCATGATTTGAGTTTTAATGGCTCAGGATTTTGGTCACAGACAAAATAATAATAATTATGAAAAAAAAAAAGTTAAGCGATTTAGGTAAAATAGTACTTTTTATATGAATATGTAAAAATAAAATCTCACATGGACCTGAGGGTAGGATAAACATAAGGCTTTGGAGTGAAGGAGAATTATATTAAATATTTTTTTGTTTTTAAATATATCACATATTTAAATATGCAGTTACAGGCGTGTCGAGGGCGCGGGGGCCTTACTAAAATAGTAATCAACCTGCAGAGAGTCAATTTGAATACCGACTCATAATAGATGAACAATGTTTGATTAGTTATTTTAGATGTGTAAGTATAAATGTATTAGTGGAGAGGGAAGTTTGAAACTGAATGACATTCAAACTACTTCTGATTGAAATGTCGTATTTTAGAGTGTAATAGACATTAGGTGTAATTACAATGACAATGGTAGAATTGTTATTATTTTAACCTATAATTAGTCATGTGCATGACAATTGAAAATAATATCAAACGGCTAGTAGTACAACATGTACTATAATGACATGAAGTATTTTTAATGTGGTGCGTGGTATCTTGAAGTAAACGGTAAGTATGGTATAGCGAAGAAAAATTTTCGGTCCATGTTTCGACGATGGGTTGCGGTGAAGAAGGTGTGAAGGTATCCGTGAAAATATATGAAGGGTATAGGTAGAGACGATGAATGGTACTGGAATCATAAAATAAAAAAATATTATACATTATAAAAATTTACACTTTTTATGGTTTTTATATACCTAATATAATTTTTGACAATTATATGCACAAATGTTTAGAGTTATTATTATTTTATATTCTTATTACTTATATTTAAAGATTTTATTCTATTAAATTTCATTCACAAGAAGTTGAACTATTTTTTAAATTGAACGATTTTAACTCTTGAAATTACATAGGTAAAAAAAATTTTTATTTAAAAATTATTATTTAGTATTTTGTTATTTTTACCCGGGGTTTACACTATAAAATTTACTTTATTTAGAAATTCTATTATTAATAATTATTACAGCATCGTTAAGAGCTTAGTGAATATGTTCCATACAATAAATATTGATTCTAATACAGTAATACTATCATTTATCAAGCAATATTTTCTAGTGTTATTAAAATTGTAATAAGTTATCTATAATTTATTATTTGTATTTAAATATGAATCCGGAAGACAATTCATAATAGTCATAACTTAATATATTTTCATAGACTACAATCGTTTGATTTTTTTCTTAAGAGACACGTATATAGTATACGTATATAAAATTACAAACACTAGCACAACGCAAGTTATAATTTATTTTCTACAAGTATTATTATAATAAAAATTTACTCTATAGTATATTTTTTTAGATTGTTTTAAAAGAACAAATTATGTTATCTAAATGTTTACAGTAATATATATATATATATATTAAAAATAATAATTATAGAAATTGAATATTTATTCAACGTTGTTTAATAAATGTTTGAGAAATAATTACGTCTTCTATTTTTTTTATCTTTGTACCATCATATACAAATTATATTAAAAAAATTACCGATGTGTTGACTAATTTGTGAGTGGAATTAATTTAAAATGTCAAAAAACGTGACAATAGTAAAATAATGGTTACTATAAATATTAAATGAAAATAAATTACCTTTTTTTTTGAAATTTAAGCAAGATAGTAGGTGACCATGGCCATGATGCAAAGCAATGATGTCTGTATGGTCTTAGGACAAGCCTTGTTAATAGCGGTGATGCTCATATCTCTTAATTCTGGGTCTGATTTTAAACAAAACAGTTAGTTATTACGATTATATTTAAAATTAATTTCATTAAGTAATATAATAACTAACCGGAAAGAACTGAATTGCCTGGGTGTGCTTCTGTAAATAGAAAATAATATACATTTTAATTAACAGTATAATAATATTATAGACAGTATTATTATTATTATTCTATGTTAATAGAAATATTCTCGATAAAGAAATTATGCAATACATTAAACTTAAATAGTAAAACAATTAAGGCGTACAATAGTATTTATTCAATAGATTTACAGAGTATTCAAATACGAATACGAATTAATAATAATAATAATAATAATAAAAATAATATATCTATAAGAAACATAAATGAGCTTTAAATGAAAACAGAAACATATTTTACTTCTTTTATCATACTTCATTACTTAATTATACATAACGTTATTAAAAAACTAACTATAGTTAAACTATTAAAAATTAATGGAAATTTTTGTACACCAAAACTATATAAGGTTTTAAGAAATGTTTTCGTACTAAACATTATAATCTTAATTATTTCTATTGATCTATTAATCACGTTTACGTTCGTGTAATGAAAATTAATGCATACTTGGCATTCGTGAAAACACTAATAAAAACACGGTAAACAGGCTAATAAAAACAAATATTGTTACCGTTCTTTGTGCTGGTGGTGAAGAAGAAAGATTGGGAAACTTCGCTCCAACCGTAGCGGTTTCTGGATTGAACGGTTGCTTCGTATTTGGTGCCGGGGTCCAAGTTGCGGATGGTTTCAGTTCGGGTCTTTTCCAATTGGTCAGTGGATGCAGGGTTAAGCAACACCTCTGTCCAATCATCGTTCCACTAAAACACGAAAATCAAAATCCGAATTATTTTAAAATATACACGTTTTACCGCGGTTTATTAAAACCGCCCCACATCAACGTAAACCGTATTTTCTCCTACACGGCACCTATAAAATATTTTTAAATGATCGTACTCTATGTCACCTACATTTTCGTGGCGTATGGTTTACTTCGTCCTTGTGATTAGGATAATTCGGTGATAAATACAATTAACATGGTGAAAAGTCGAAGTTAGGTCGAACTCCGTTTGTTATTGAAAACAAAAAAACAATGCGTGCGCATAAATACTTGTATTCAGAACGGTGAAGTAGGTACAGCCGAATTCATATAATAAATCATAGCCCGACAATACATAATTTTTTATGTTTTAAATTGTATTTTATACTCTTATTACGTTTATTACGTGAGATAACTCGTAAAGTTGCATTATGTTTTGTATTATTATTTATGTCGTAAAACTAAAAACAATATAGTCGTGTATAAAAGTTGTAAATTATTCGAGTCTTAGCGTTTTCGAAAATAAAAAATAAGAATATCGCTAGCTGCGATTATGTTACTAGAAAAACGCTAATTATTTTTATGATGCTATTTTGTTCAGTCTGTATAATAATATGTACACACAGTTCTATACAACGATAAATTGAATTATTCTTTTTCGTTATTAAAAAAAAAAAAGTTGAAAAATACGGTCTCGATGGTTGTATTATAGCGGCGCAGTGTTAAAATGAATATTGTAGTTTATGTTTGTAACCAATACTTGTATAAAAACCATTAGGTTTGTTGCATAATGCAGTGAAAAAAAAAAAAAAACTCCGTGAGATTTTTAAAGTAGTTTATATTATATGATGTTTTTAACAACAACGTATGATTATAAGAATATTATACGATTTTAAGAATACGATGGCTATATTATTTTCTAGTACACAATTTCACCCTTTGAATATATTGTGTACAGGTGTATTATATACATCGATAACACTCGACAGGACAATGGGAAGTAGAAAAAAATTAATGTTTTATTATTTTTGATACGACCGACGTTTAGAGGTGACCGTTAATGGAGCTTTCACTGTATAATATCAATATATACGTATAGTCTATAATTCTATATTATGGTTTATAGTAATAATTAAATGGGGATATAGATAATAATGAAAAACCAAGTAGTATAATACATAATATTATACGTTACTTATATATAATATATATACACACATCGACAGTTATAGCTATTTCACGCGTTTCATAACTAAAGTTCAATTTTTCGTTGCTGCTTCGTACATAATATAAGACCCTTAGCATTTTCGTTAAAAGTATATTCAAAATTAGGTCACCGCAAAGAATTTAATCGAGACGATCATTGTATTTCTGGTTTCCTTATCTTGAAAATTACATTGATATAATCCGCAAGATAAATGCTTAAAACGTTTCAATAATTTCACATCGAAAGCGCATTGATTTGGTATTAATAATGATGATATTATATAAGTGAATAATAGCTACTCGGTTTATACAAATTATAAAGTACAAATTCGTAAAATTATATATTTGATTGATTCCTTTATTAGTTAATTTAATTATGTTTGTATATTTGTCTTACACAATACGGGATAAAATGATTAACTAGAGATGGATTTTTATTTTATTTTAATAGTACTTATTAGTGTTGTAAAATTCAACCAGGTGTGTATGTAATTTAAAATTTAAAAAAGCCACAATACTCATCATCAACGAATTAAAAATTAAATTATATCGTTTACTTTTATCAAAACAAAAAGTAGACTTTAATTGAGTAATTTTAAATTTGTTATACTTTTGAAACGATCGAAAAAAAAAACTAATTATTAATGCATTGTTGTAGAGTAATGTTCAGTGATTTGATGTCATCAAAAAGTAAAAAAAAAAAAAAAAAAAAAATAGTAAAATAAAAGAATAACAGGTAACAGCGTTATAATATTATTAAATCATACGTGAGCGTGTAGCCAAGTGCAAATAGACTGGGACGTATGAACTGCGGAAAAATGTTTTGACGAGGTCGGACAAGGTGCACAAGATAGACACGCCGTGTAATCGCAAAGTGGGTATAAACTATATGTATAGGTTTAACGTTCCGGAAGGGGGGGGGGAGTGATCGACTATAATATTTCAGCGGCAAAGACGTAAAATAATCCATACACCGATGCAGCAGCAGCACACTACACGCGGAGGAGTGCACAGACGGTGCAGTGCGAGTGTCTTTATCGTTTCGGTGGATTTTTATGATACTTCGGTGGCGCCTGCAAACATTACATTTCAATAGGTCCGCACCTCTGTCGCCACATTCGGCCATTCGTCTTTTTATAGCTTACAAACGAGTATGTGTGTATATATGGCAATAATAGCTGGGGCGTATTTCACGTATACATAATATCATATAGACTGTCGTTTCGATGTAAATATATATATATATATATAAATATAAAGAGAGATTCTCTTCTCGAACTCTTTGCGTGTACACATCATAATGTAATACGCGTTTTGCGTCTGTACGCTGCGTACGCCAGCCGGCTATGTAGTAATTATTATTGCGGACAATATTATACTCTGTCACAGCGCCTACGTTTATACGCGCATGTGTTGCGTGTACATACATTTGTGTACAACAGAGTGATTTACGCCAATCGCACTCGCTCTCATTTTGTCCTTTAATATTATAACGAATTTGTTCAAATTCTGATTTTTGGAATTTTCAAACAAAAAAATGTATATATTCAAAGATCGTATTTTCAAATTGAGTCTATGCGTTTTTTAAACAATTTTATACATCTATATAAAAGTAATGCATAATACGGGATCACGTATTGAATGCAAACATTTCGATTAAAATGTCGAAATGTGACTTTTCGATGATAAACTTATTGTTTTTTTTTTTTTTTTTTGCATTATTGATAGTAAAACTTCGAGGCGTCTTGTGTTGAATTTTCAAACTTTGCATTTAAAAATAAAATTTTCTATAAATTTCTAACTACAAAATAATTTGCAGATTTTCGTGATTCTCGTCAAAACAAACTCTTATAATAATAAACGCTTATTTAAAAAAAGTCGTTATTATGATGTATTTTTCAAACTTGTAAACAGACAACTTATAAAGAAGCTATGTATTTGTATTAAATTTTTCAAAGTTTTCGACCGATTAAACGAATAATTTTTTGTCGACATTTGTAGAAATCTCCTAACTGTTTGCGTCTGTGCGTTGCGTACTCGATGAGCCGACGATATAGTCATAGAAATCATTATTACGGACGATATACCCCGCCACATACGTTTATATTCATATGTGTTGCGTGTGTGTGTATATATATATATTATGTACACATGCGATGTTTTGCTTAAATAAAACGGTTCAATTAACAGCGCGTCCCGCCTTGCCCAAGAACCGCGGTATACTGCGGGCGGCCGCGATGGGAATAAAATCTACTCCGGGGGCGAGCGTTCATATTATGCGTTAATTTCGAATTGCCCAAATGTCATAAAACGTAAAAGCCTGGGCGCAGGGATTTGCAATTTTCAAATCGGTTTATAGCTGTGTCTACATTTACGGCTTCCATGATAATACAAGTTCATAAATTTGTCAGCCGGAATTCCCCAATTAATACCACTCTGCGAGCAACATATTTTCCGCTTTTTATTAGGGCCATTTGCGCGCAGAGTCTTCAGGGACCGATATAGACAGACGGAACGCATATACGTTTTTTGGTGCTTATATATTAATCGAAATTAATGTGTACTGATGGCAGTCGTTGCAATAATTTTTAAGAGTGTTCGGTTGCGACGGACCACGCGGTCGTGTCTGCTCGTTGAAACGTGTTTCTAATATATACTACCTACAGTATAACGTACCGTTAGCACAAAAAATATATTTTAATACCGGATTCGCATAGACGAATTAACGTGATCGTCTGAAGTCACTCATCGGGCGCAGTCTATGACCGTCATCTTGTATAATATGTGCAATCGCGCTTAGTTTTCGCCTCGAACTTGTCATAGCAATGGTATTATGCTATGCATATTATTAATGTTTTATGCCATGATAGGTATACAATCGTGTGCAACAGAAATCTTATTTTTTTTGATCGAAATATGCCATTAAGAGCTCGGTAGTAGTATTTTAATATTAAAAAGTAATATTAGTTCGGAAATGTTTTTACTGTTTATTTATTAAAGATTCTAAGTGTATTTTAATTTTTTGGTACCTTATAATGTAAAAGTTTCGGAAAGTCAAGAATATCAAACGAACGCAAATACAATTTTCATGAGTTCATTATAAGCCTTTTAACAAATCTCATTCCTTTTATGTACATAGGTATTAGCATGGGCTATGCTTAAATTTCGTGGAAACATAATATTAAATTTTCAGATTTCATTAGTTTGTCTATTATATACTGTCTTATTATGGTAAAAGTTTGCAAATGGTTTATTTTACAAAAATGTGTGCATTTATGACGAGCAATACTCGATAACTTGAATAATTATAGTAATAATTATGCTTGTGTTTTTCTTTAAGGTAGGATTGGTTGAACACATTGTTGTTAACTAATGATGTGGTGATATTGCTATATAATAATCCCTCTCTACCACGGACGGTGACATTTATTAACTTGACATTTGTTCATACATTGATTAATTATTCTATGTTTGATGGCTTTGAGTATAATTAACTATAGTAGGGTCCTTTCATTTAATTCTAGCAGCTCTATCTTTGGTCTTTGGTATTTTTTTATTTTTGTACCAAGAAATTCTCTATGAATGCAGTGCGATTTGCTGGTTTATCAAACATTGTAATGAATTTAATGTAGTCAGATTTTGATTTCTGTTATGATTTGTAACTTGATATTTTTATATTTTCACTGTTTGTTTATCGTAATCAGAGCAGTAAATTGAATATGCGTTAAAATAATACAAATATAAACATGCACTTATATACTAAACATTTGGAAATAAGCACTGTAAGATATTTTCAAAGTCTCGTAAAAAAAAAGTTTAAAATAATAATGGAAATACATAAATACTTCGAAAAATACCGATATTATGCGTATAATTTTAAATTGTATAAAAAATGTATGATGGAAAAATATATAATATATAATATAATATGACCTTCATAAAACAAAATATATTTTTTTTAATAAAATGTTAACATTAAAATATTTTTTCAAAACCATCACTACCTACTCCTAAAATATCCAATGAAAATATCAAAAATAGTAACATACATTTATGTTTTCTTAAATATACAAAATTACATTTTGTATTTAGAATGGTAGTCATGATCAAGACTTATCTGGATAATTGTTGTGTTAGTTATTTTAGGCAACACATTTTCTTCTATTTTATAGATACATTTAATATTAATTTCCTGCAGTATAATATTTATTTATCTTATGAATAATATATATATTATATTTAACATATTACTATCAAATTACTTTATCTTAGTTATATAATATTAGATATACTGAAAAATTTTGTATTATGGTTAGTCCTGTATGGCTAAATGTGGAAAGAAAACTATCGAAAAATGAATTAAAAACCATAAACGGTAAAATCATGATTTTGTCTAATCCCAGTTTTGAAAGTCCGTTACATTAGCTCCACCATATTTAAAAATCCAAAAGAAAATTATACCAACGATTGTTATTTAATTTGTACATATTTGTAATCCTAATACAAATATTTGTACATCCCCCAAACGCCTCCAAAAATGTATTTCTCCGACGGTGCTAATGTAACGTTACACCAGCACCACAATTTTTGTACAATCGACTTGTCCACTCCAAAATATTTATTTGTAGCTTTAAAATTAACAGTTCTTAAAAATTTCGAAATTTACGTGATTTACTATTAGATTGATGTTGGTTGATTTTTCAGATATTTTGTTTGGCAAGTTTGAAAGATTTAAAAAAATTTTAAATATTAAAGTGTTTGGTTTCTAAAATCGTAACTTTTGAATTTCAATTTAATTTAAGTTTAAAAGTAGGTATGCCTCTCTGAATTCATTCAAATAATCTCAACAATTTGTACTCTGAAAATTCAAATAAAATTTTTAAAAAAAAATAATTTTATCTATTACTTAGATCATTATCAAGATAAAAGCGAGATTATCTTTGTCTTATTTAAATTTAAGTAAGTAACGTTTATTTATTTTTATCTGTGTCTAGATAAATGTAAATATACCTAATTATTTGTATCTTACACATATGACATTTTAGTTATATATTTTCAATACTGGTACTTATGTCTTGAACACAATTTGTATCTCACTTATTTTGAAAATTTAAAACGAAATTTATCGATGCACAAATTCGTTAAATTCACATCTCTGATTACAGTCTACCATCAAACTTAATTTAATCACGCAATAATCAATAATTTTTGTTTCATTTGATTATTATTAATAAATACATAATTCATTCACTGTCAATAATAATTTGATGTCATCGTGCAGGTTCAACAATTAGATAACTACATTTTTGAAAACGACATTTTAAATAGTTTTGAACTGGCATTCTTCTCATAAGTTATTTATTGCGAGCTTTAGGCTGAGTAGAAAAGTTGTGATTATGTGCATTGTTTGTTTGCTTATTTTTATTGTACCTACCTGCTAAATTGCTCGTAACTGATTTAGCCCTAAAACACTATAGCTACATTAGTTGATGTCGGTGTTGTTATTACAATTTTTATAAGACTCCGCAATCATTGACGTAACCGATTAAGACGATATTATATTGTTATACTCACTCTTCTCATGGGACGTTTATACTGAATTTCTTGGTTGCTCTTGTTTGTCCTGTCAGGACGGTATAGCAATTTGTATTCTATAATTGGGCTATAGCTTTTCACAGTCCATAACATTTCATATGAATTTTTAGAACGGCCCTGTTTCGAGCTGGTGATGATCGCGACGTCTGGTCTTCCTGTAAACAGAGAAATTTTCAACATTTACATTTTTTTTTTGGTTACACATTTATATACCAATTGTTCAGTTACATAATTTGTTTTATAATTTTAGCTATTGTTATATTTTTTTTATTAAATGCATTATTGAGTTTTAATGAAATTACTGTACTAGTTAAGTTGAACCTAAATACTTATAAATAATATTGTGAAAAAAAAAATAATCATTACCTAAATTATATTATTAATCTTAGCCTCATATTATACGTATTTATTCTTTGCAGATGTAAATAGAGGGTGGGGCTAGACTCTTTACATATTTATTTAAGATTCCTAGAAATTTAGGTTAGCACCAAATCTTATGTCTCATATTTAACTAAAATTGTTGAGACTTGAGCCCCTTTAATATAGAGTATTCAGCTCCTTAAGCTGTTTGACTTTCCAACTTTAAGAAATTTTATTTTAGTTCATTTTTTATTTTGTTTTATTTTCAACACATGATGCGGAGCCAGAAATCTTTTTGCTCGCTGATATTTTATGAATTTATTTATTTATTTTTCACATTTATTTGAATTAACATCTTAAAATATATTATATCCAATAAACATAGTTTGATATAAATATTTAACTCGGAACATAATAAAAATCACTTAAATTAAATTAAATTAATATTTATTTATTACTTTTAGGGCTTCACAATTTTGTTTAGTTAAAAGCTTGACAATTGAATCCGAGGTTCCTTATAACTTAATAAGTAATTCTTGTATACATTTTAAAATATTAGAAAAAACAAGAGCACATATTTATGAAGTTCAAATTTTAATCAAATTGGATATTGAAATGCAAAACAATGATTTCTCCTTTTAACGATTTTAGTTTTTTTGGTTGTATTTCATAAATATTAATTGTAAACTTGTGACTTTTCTTTATAATAAGTCTTTTTAAGTAAAAATTCTTCAAATTTAATGTTGAATTGTAAATTTAGAAATTTATTTCTAAATGTATTTTACGCGGTGGAAAAAATCAATAGTCTAACATAATTATATTTCACTATACAATTTATAAATTTGCAAAAAAGTACAAAAAGCTGTATTTGGATACGTTTCAAATTGACACTAGTGGGTATAAAGTAGTAATATAAAAAACACCATTATTCATCACTTTAAATTACAACCAAATACTATGAGATAAAATGCCGTAAAAATCGGTTTTGAGATAATTGACAGTATATATTATAATGTATATTGAAAATATGAGTCATTTCAAAATAATAAAGTTTAAATTATTTTACGGTGGGTTTTTAATATTTGTATTATTATTTAGTACATTATAAAATTCCAAATATTTTTCTATAATGACCTTTTTAATGATTTTAGATATAAAAATTACACATTATTTAATCTTGTTCACCAATGAAATTTAAATAGGTAAAATGCTACATGAATTAACTACATATTTTATTGTAAAACAGATAAAATTATATATGTATATGACGCATTATTATTATTGTTTGTAAATGATAAGTAGGTATTTAATCGAATATTGTAGATTCAGTAAAATTTCTTAAAAAAATTAATATATACTTATATAAAGCTATAAACTTATTATTTTCGTGATAAAAAAATATTTTGAACGTTGATAATAGATGAATTATAATGAAATACGAATTTACGATGACGAAACATAGACAGAATTTTTAACGTTAATTCCCAATAATTTGGAAAATATTTAGAAATAGTTGTCATATTTTTAATTTTGTGACTTAAACTAAAATACTCTCAGGAAAATGCTTATGCACAATTATATCAAGTTTTGAATAGATATATTTTTATTAATAAATGTTCAAATTTTAGATTGGTAGAGTTATGATACATCAAAGTGAATTTTGCTACTTTATTATACTTTATTTCTTCCATATTTTATATTTGTATGTTAAACGTTTATAAAAATATTGAGACTTTATTTAAGATTCTGAAAAAAAAAAATGAACATGTTGTTATTTAATAATAAAAAGTTGATAGCATTTTCTTAAAAAAACTTAGGAGTGAACAAAATAAGGCTTAACTCGAAGAGTTTTTTTTTTCAGAGAGATGATATATTTTTAAATATTGAAGTTTTATTGTTTACAAGATCACTTTATATTGAATATTACATCATACTAGTTCATCACGAAGTTTGTGTGAAAATTTGCTGAAGTTAATTTTTTGTTTTTAAATAACCATGCAATTAGATTGCGCGAAGTTTCGTAGACAGTAATGAGAATGTTAATTAATTCAACAATAAAAAAAAAAAAACGCTGCTGCTTGGTGTTTAGCTTTTAACTTAAAAATGTAACTTAAAATCGTCTAATTAGACAGGCGTTGAGGGACGTTCGTGCAACAATAATATCCGACAAGAGCGACGCAGGCAGGTTAGTCAGCTAATGGGCGTGAAGTGTGGAGGGAAACAGTTTAAATTCAATTTTGAGTGTTGTCGTGTAACATTAGGTGTAGGGTCTGTGAGTGAAACAAGAACAAATAACTGAGATGTTGCCGAAGTTTCTGTTTGGTCTTAGGTACATACCGTACCAATTAACGTGACATTACAGCTGGTAACGTAACTTTTTAAATATATTGTGTAAAGCTAAACGCTATTCCGAATAATATTAATAGGACGTAGGTATATTTTAATAATTAACACAAATAATCTAAAATATATGCGAATATTCCATAAGTTAATATTAGGATAAAATAGTATTTGTACTTTGTACTAACGGATATTATTTAATGTATTTTTCATATGTATAAATTGAATAGAAAACTGTAAATGGTGTATAATATTTTGATAAATATCAAGCAGTAAGGTGCTGTAATGTTTATTTATTTAGATTTTAGAGTATTCTTATTTTGCACGTATAGAATAACCAAATTTGTTACGGTTTAAAAATGAATAATATCACAGTAGTTAGTAAATTTAAACTTCTTGTAGAAATTATACTTAAAAATAATGGTTTTGTACATTTTCTAAGATAGTACCCGTTCTGTAATTTTATACTATTTATACTATAAGTTAGTTCCATACACACATTTCATATGAATATCAAAAAAAAAATTTTTTTATAGTATGGTATGGAGTTTAATTTAAAATGTTTTTTTTATTTTATTATTTTTTTTTTTTTTAGATATAGTTATTACTCAAACATTAACAGGTTACACTGCTCAACAACTCAAGTTATAAATAATTCTGGAATCATCATTTTCTTAATATGTGTAAAAGGAATATTATTACTATATTAGAAATAAATATTATAGTTATTGAAAATAAATAAATATACCAATTTTAGAATATTCCTGATTACTTAAACGAAAAGTTTAAGACTATTTTTTCATTTATACTTTTCAAATTACTAACAATTTTTATTGCAGGAACCAATTTGCAATGTATAACTTTCTTGAGAGTGGCTGATACAATTTTGTATGATTTGATAACTGCAGATAGGCGATAAAAAGTTACAGCACTTATTACTTATTTGAGAACTCATTTTTTTAAAATTTAAACTAAATGTTGACATTTTTTTTAAACTACTTTATAGTTCCAGATGTTCTACATTATAGTTAATAGTAGTAATAAGTGTTAAAGTTATTCGCTTGAAATGACTTGAAAAAGTAAAAATATTGACGTGCAAAATCACTGACAGGTGAAATTAACGGAATTTAATTTAACGTTGATAATATAAAACGATCTCACATCATAAAATATGTCTAGCTTATATGTATAGGTATATATTATATTTTGAAAGTTTAATAAGAGGATAATACCTATAAAATAGATTATTTCAATAGATGAACCACTGATGATGTTAGTCACGTAATTTTAGTTTGCCCCGAGTTGTTTACGTAATCACATGTAGAATACGTGTCTAAGATGTATTTCAGTTTTAGAATCGATGAGTAATATTTGTTATTCAATGCGTTTGTAATTAAAATATTAAAAATTAATCGCATGTAGGTGGGATACGTGTAATCTTCCGGTTATTGACATTCATTCGCAGACAAAGGATTTGAATTTCGTTTGAAACGTTTGCGATCTCATACTAATGAAAAATTTCGATTGACGATTGTTAATTTGTGCGATGGAGCGCTTTATTTTAAGCTCAGTATCTCAAAAGAAATTTGAATAATTTGAATACAGTGACAAGGTGTTTTTAGCGTAAAGTGAAAACAACATTACTGTAGTTACCAAATATATATGTTATGAATTATTAATCAAAACTGTACACAATAGTATTTTACTATAAATTTTAATAATATTGAGTGTGCGATTTATTTAAAACATAATTTTTTATTATAATATTTCTAAATAAATCATACAAATTATTTCATGGTTTTTTTTTTTATCAATACATATTATTATTAAAATTAAAATATTTTTGATTAAGTACCTAAATTTGTTAGAGGTTGCAAAAAAAAAAAAAAAAAATTGAATAATAACGTTGATAAACAGATGTATCTTTTGAGTTAAATCTGTATATTTTAGTTATGAGAATAATATGTAAATTGAATAATTTCTTGGTTAATTAACCAAAATTTAAATTTGCATAATTATTTTCCAAGCAAAACATTTATCACACTTAATTTAATTATATATTTGGTTTCCGTTGGATTCTTTTGATTCTTGTTTAAATATTTTTTATACTTTAAAGAAAGATTCTGTATAGAAACATGTATATTACTTTTTTATCCATTCGAGATTTAAGTATGTTTATCATGAACGTCATTAACTTTATAAAAAAAATAAAATAAGCAATAAAAGCATATTTTATTAATATGACATAATAATTAATATAATTCAATATTAATATTTATTCATACAATTATTATAAATATTTATACCATTTAAAAACGCCAACTAATTTTTTTTAAATTTTCATGTGTATTTATGTTAATATCATTTATTACAGTAATTGTTTTTATATTTTTACATTTTAAATTGCTGCGATACAGTTGAATAAGAATGCTCTAAAAATATCTTTGTATAAAATTCTATATAATTAAAAAGGTGTATTAATGGGGTACCGTTTCACTGTATTGAGTTATTGACCGAATCATTGTAGTCGATATGTTAAATTTGAATTAAATGATAAATCATTCTATTAGAAAAACGCGGAGACGATATGTTAGTATAAATTATTCAAATACCGGGTACCTATTTTATATTATATATTACCTATTTATATTGTATTTTTAATCTTATTAATATAATATTACTTACACATTATTATATATTATGTTATAAATTATAAGGTAAAAATAAAAAATTTTTTTATGCCTATAAATAGCTATAAAGAGTTAAATAGTTAAAAAACATTATCATGAACTAGAAATAGTAATACAAAAATTTGGGAAAATTTTAAGTACCTATGCTTGTTGGTTTTTTATTTGCACTATAAAACATTTGTTAAAAACTGGTTTGCATAAAAAAATGCTGAAATTAAAAATGTAACTATTTTTATTGCTCAAAATGGTGTTAATGAAAAAACACATGTTTGTAAAATCAATATAGTTACTGTTCTACTCATAATATAAAATACATTTAGAAGTATTTTAGAATTTTAAACTAACATTTTAGGTGGCCATTTGATGGTTAAAACTGTTAAAATAAATACATTTTGTTAATGGTGATTAAAACTAAAAATTTTGTGATATGTTTATTTATTTGAATTAGCTCTTATAGGCAAGGGTTTATCAACATTTACTATTTCATAATTGAGAATCTCAGAAATATGCATTAAAATGTTATTATTTATTAGTTAACTCCTAATTATTAATAGTTACTATTTTTTTAAAAACAACTAAGAATTTAACTGTTTAATCGATGATAAACTATGCGTATCTAATTAAAATAAAGTAATTAAAATTAATCAGGTCTATAATTTATTTATTTTTATTTCGATACTATTTTTCAATTCTTTGCATTTTACTAATGGACAATGTTATCAAATTTTTAAAACCACATCACTTATTCATAAATTTGATTGCGGATAATTTAAATTTGACAAGAAAATTCAAAATGTATTCATAATCTTGATTTAACATAAAATTAATTTTACATTAGTTACTTAATTGTATATATTATTTGAATATACGCGTAGTTCATTACCAAACCTGCAGATTAACAAGAGATTAATATTTGCCACGTGCCATGGAACTAATAAAACAGTGTGTGCGATGTTACGTCAAACCATTGTTTTACATTTGATCCATCGCATTATCATTCCAGATGCATTTTAAGCCGACATAGTGTAGCACGTATAGAAAAATACAATTCCTCATAGCTAGGAACGTCAACAAAATAATCTACTTATATTTTTAACCTGACACTAATTACAATTTATATAACGCATGGTGTTGTCAAAAGCTATTTTCCTAATTATGTTTTGTATAAATTATATTGGTTGTTTTATTGTACCTATTTAATTATTCGCATGCCAATTTGCAACTCATTATTGTATACTGTGATTGCCGTATGATAATTTGCTATACCTATCAAAGTTTTAGTTTACAGATTATTTCTTATAACTATTAGGGTTGCGAGTGAAACATAGTACATATTTATAAATTATGTTGAACAACTTTAATAATTATGCAGGCACATTATAATATAGTTATATGCGTTATTTTAAATTAATTGTTTATTATTTAATTTCAAAGAATAGTATTGGAAACTTGAGACATATTTTTAAACAAGGATTTGACTCAAAATCTTAAATAATAATAAATAATTTTATTCAATTTTAATTTACTTAATATTTTCATGACATTTTAAAAACTACTTAATAAATAAAACGTACGCGTGGGAGGGTAATATGCCCGATGTTTGTGAATAATAATAATAATAAAAATAATATATGTTAGTAGTATGTATACAAATACGGAATGAACATTTTTAATTTAAAAAAATAACATCGAGATCTTCAATAGGTTTTATAAGAAAATCAGATAGCCAATAATGTGCTACGTTAATTTTTTGTATCAATGTATTGGTGAATTGTTAATTATTAATAATAGATACTCATATTTCATAATATTTAACTTATACTTAGTTTTAATCATTTTTTTTTTTTTTTGAATCGAAGACTGAGGTGAAGACTGTTTTTGTAATACTTCACCTCATTTACATTATATTTTTACCCTAGTCCTAATTGAATACTAGAAATGCTGTAATATGAGTTATATTGCGTAGTTATTTCGTAAATTTTACTATACGATGTACTCGTATAGCACAATCATGCTATCATTCTAGGGATGTTTTCATGATTTAGTTTGTTTATTAATTGCAGTAAAAAATAATATATAAATACGTAGTATTTTTTAATTGCCTACTTATGTACATTTATTAAATAGGTAATTGTTATTATTTATAATTGAAAACGAGTCAAACAAAATATTCGATTTTGATGAGTAAAGAATTAAAGAATACCCCTTAAAATTAATAAACATAACATTTTATACTCTATAATTAAAATATTTACAAAAGAATAAATAAAAAAATATCAGCTAAATTGATTTAGTATTAAGTTAAGTATAAATAAAAGTTCTCAGATAATAATTAAAAGCGAATTGTTTATGTATTTACAATGTATATGCAATAAACCATGTTTTGGCGTTAAAGATATAATGAAATCGTATAATATATAATATTAAGAGTCATACTTACCAGTCACTTCGATGGATCGTTTGCTTTTGCCAAGTCCATTATCGGCCACACAAGAATAATTGCCAAAATCGGTCTTCTGCACTTTTCTCAAGCGTAAAGTGTATCGGTTGCCTCTGACGTCGGTAATCCGCCATTCGGTCATGTCCAATTGTAACGTGTCTCTATACCACAAAACCTGAAAAATTACGCGAAAATCATAAGACGTGAAATATTGTTTCATATACGCGTAAATGTATTACAAATATTATCGCAAAAAATATTGCTTGCCAAGTGCCAACCACTCTATACACACATTGGTAGCCCAATGAAATGGCGTGTATGAGTGGTTATGATATTTTTGTATTGTACTGAGTTACTTGTGTATCTATTAGCTACGCAATACGGCCTTATATTCCTCCTCAACTCCGAATCGAATTCATGTTATAAATAATTGCAGCAGTATTTAAGGGGGAAATGAGACCTTTTCCACGAAATTGATCAAGAATTTAAATTAATATTATTTTATGGAAGTGGATTTCTTTATTTATTTTAATTTTTGTTTTACATAGTTACAATATATTATAATACTTAATAGCTACCAAACTAATACTTATATCGAATTTGATTGAATTCAAACATCATACAAATATTTTTTATCAATTGAAAGTTAAGATGTTATAAGAATACTTCTGTATATATACAGCGTTATTTTCAGACTTGGCTTATTTGTATATTTCATCATAACTTTTTTGCATTGCGACCTATCATTCAATACTTAATTTTTTTTTATCAATGTTGTCTTATCATTTGGTTTTTGTTTAGAAATTTTAAAGTTTTTAACAATGCGGCTTCTATATTTCAAAATTGCTAACACATCTGCAGTTTTGGCATAGGTTGTAGGTTGTAAACCATAAAGAACAGATGTTTCATAGTACTTTTCATCGAAAATATTTAGTTTATTTAACAATTCTAGAGAGCCAAAATCAACGTCTAATTTTTCTAAAATAGTTCAATTATTTATTTTTTATTGAGAATTAAATATTTATGAACTATTCATCAATTGTACTGATAATATTATTTTGAATACAATTTGAACTTTATAGATCCATGAGTCATTATTAGGAAATAACTTTTTTCCTTAGAATTATGTATTTAGAAATATTCTGCAATATAAAAATGATTTTTAGTTTTCGGTGATGATCAAAAATAAACTATTATATTTTGAGATACATTTAATAGTCATATTCTAAGAAACATTGATATGTTGATATGTGTTTCAGTGTTAGGTGTTGGCCGTATTGTTCTAGAATCAACATTTACCATCATAAAAAAAAGAAATTGAGAAAACCATAAGTCACTATAGTGAAAATTGGGCCTGAAGATTTAAAATCAAGTCTTTAAATTAATCATTTCAATTTTTATTTAACATAAAAAATAAATTTTCCTTATTTATGCTATTTATTCTTTTAAAAATAATATTTTAACACGAATAAGTAGTAATATATTATATATATATATATATATTTATATTTTAAAACCGTTGGTAGTCTTATTTCTATTGTTATAAATACTAATGGAACAATGAGTACAATTTTATACTGTAAAAATTATTAATACTAATTTTAGATTACGATTGTTAACAAGAGAGTTTCGAAATTGATACAAACCGTTTATAGACACTTTATTAGGCGCAACAACTTACGGTTAAAATTTGTCTAGACAAAATTACCTGATTACAGAAATCATGCACTAATAAGTTCCTAAAATGTTATTACGTATACACAAGAAGTTAATCGGTTATGTTTGTTATATGAGTCATGGCATGTCTACGACATATTAAATTTGTGTTAGCGATAATTATTAGTATAATGATTTGGTTATTCGGCTCATTATACTTTTCAGATAGTTCTTCATCGGAGAGATATACAGCTGACGAGTCATTGTAATGTGACGCTGTTTATACAATGGATGTAGTAATAAGAAAAAAACACAAACTACATTTTTTACGCGACTTGTAAAATATCGTATACACGACAGATCTTATAAAAGCTGAATTCGAGATTGTAATCCGAGGTAGGTGGGTATTTAAATAAGGAATTGTTTAACTGTAAAAACTTAAACATAATGATAAGGAAGAAAGTATAACTTGATATTTCTTATTAACATTTTAAAATGCTCGTTACTTACTTTAATATTAATTAAAAAGTGAAAAAAAAATCGATGTTGACTATACTTTATGATAATTATACCTTTACATTTGATAATAGATCAATTCATTGTAATATTAAAAACAACAGAGTAAATGGATTTTTCGAATGAAAAATGTAATATGTTATGCGTTATAATAAGACGGAGACAACACGTCATGCGTATACGACGTCCTCTTAATAGTAAATTGCAATATATTTCATCAGCAGAACGACAAAAAGAATACAGAGAAGGAAAAGAGAGTTTTTGAATTTTATAATGGAACACCAGTAGTTTAATATATTTTGTAAGTGATACCGTCTTATATTATTATGCAATATTCAATAGTTATTTTGTCACGGTTGAAACCAAAAGTAAAGCACGTGGTACGTGTGCTATAATATCAGAAACTAATTAATATGATGATTTATTCTCATTTTGATAGGAAACCATCTTGATGAAATGTTTACTACAAAACGTTTTTTCTAGAGATATTTATTAACTTAATGAATAAATTGAATATCAAACACGTCATTTGAGATTAGTTAATATACCACACTGTATTTTATCATAATTATTTAAAATAGTGTATAATGAGTATTTTAATAATATTTTGAGCACCTACGCCTCACTTAGCGTCGTTCAATTTAATCTGTTCACATGTTTTTCGGGTTGCCTAAGAATAAAACAAATCACAATGACATGTGTATTAAACTATTTTTATAATAATTGTGCATAAATACCATTTATATATATAATATATATACATATAAGGTATAATAACACGACATAGCTCTGTGCAAATGAAAATACAACACAATCGTAAGGTTATTTGAAAATGTTTGATTGGCAGTATCTTAGATTTGTATGCTATTATTATGTATACATACTTAGATATTTTCCGGAATTTGGTAAAACAAGTTAAAATAAGTCCGGAAAATTCAAATTGTTGGTTATGAATGAATAAAAAAAAATCTTTTATGTATTAATAGTATAATATTATAATAAATCAAAGAATATGTTTAATTGAGAGTAAATAATACATAATGAATAAATCTACAGAATAAACTTACTTTGATAACAGTATAAAAATTAAAAAAATTAAAAAAAGAAATTTTGTTGAAAAATGTTTAGATAAAATATAGTATTATATATATTAATATTAAAAAAAAATATAGTTATCTTGTTGAATACTTAATAGAAAATGAAAATAAAACAGTTAATATATTAATATAAATTAGTCGTATATATTGATTATAAATATTCAATTTTTTTTTTTTTTGTTGAGTTTAGGTAAAAAAAATAAAAATAAAAATAAGTATTTAAAATTATTCTATGCGTAACCTTTTAATGCTATAGTTTTGGTCAAAATAATTAATAATTAAACGATACTGATGACAGAAATTACATTTAAGAATACAAAATAATGTGTATATTTATAAAAATGTAAATTTTCATAAAAAGTTAAACTATGTTTTAAATAATTTAATGAGTGGTGGTTAATGATTATAACGTGTCTAACGTGATGTTTACGATGCTTAAACCGAGAATATATTTTTAATAGTTTAGTCCTAATATGTAATTATTAATTATAAATAAATTTAATATATTTCTAAGAAAACAAAAGGTAGGCAAATAGGTATCGATCTACTGTGCATTAGATACGAAAAGCAATAATTCTGAGTGAAAACGATCCGTTAGTCTGTAATATCACCAAGTATATTTCGTCATAATATATGTTTTATTATTTGTTTTTCAATAGAGCTATTAAAGCCATTTATTATACTTTTATTATTACAGTAGGTTAATATAGTTTTTCTTGGATAATGTAGTATTTAATCATTAAAATAGTATGTATTTATATCATTTTATAAAAATGTTTATAACTCAAAATGTAATTTCATGTTTCTATAAATACCGTAGAAAAGAAAAAAATTTTTATAAAATTAATCAAATAACTTGTCATTGCTAATAGTAAAATTCAAAATAATATACGATAATATACGTAAAAGATTAAAGTTTCTACGAATGATGTTTTTAAATTAAAATAAAATAATTAATATCGTTATTTATTGTTTAAATAAGTAATTTCGTCTGAGTTTAATCTTAAAATACCTATAGCAAATAATTTCTTTTACAAATTTTATGGCTTCAGTATTAACAATTTATGATGAAGCTAGTATAGGCAAAATTTTCAAGTATTTTTATCGAAATTTATGAAAAAAATCGTAAATTCAGTTATTTATAAATAGCTCAACAAAAGTCAAAAATGTTATATGTATAATATAATGTAATTTATATAATGTATAAAAAACTGATAAATGAAAAAAATATAAATATTTAGTGAATATTTTAAGTCACTGTGACCATTATTTTTAAATTATAACAAAATAAAGGAATTAATTTAATTAAAATCTGGGTTAGTGGTTAATGTAAAAATGTCCGTTTTTCCTTACTTTTTGTTTGTTTTTCCCAATTACAAAAAATACTGAAATTTTTTTATTTAAATTCTTTAGAGTATAAACTAGATCCGATTTTTTGACAAACGGATGTATCATGTGATCATAAAAAAAACACATCATTATAATAAATTCATTCATCTTTCAGCTCGGACTCTAGTATAAATTGAATGCTTGTGGGGAGCTATACTTAACTAATCATAAAATTTCTTTTAATTCTCAATATTTAGAAGTAATTTATAATTGGATAGTTAGATTTCTGCAATATTTTGAATAGAAGAACAGATCGTGGGCCAAAGTTTTTAAGTTTCATAAATCACAACTTCATATCTACTATATAAAAATATCTGGTGTAAGTAACAGTCGTTTTTTATGTATTTTGCTACGGACTTATTTTTTATGATAACAGTACACTCGAATGCAAAATTTATTCAACAAAAACCAACAAATTATATATTTAAGACCTATATTAATGTGCACACTGGCTAATCTTTCATATTTAATTAAATTCATTTTTACATTTATTTACTAAAGAATTTAACATTAATTT